AAGTGGGAAAAATCTCAACATATATTCAATACTTGGCAAAACACGCATTAACAAGAGGCGGGGGAAGGAAGAACACCGCAAAAAAAAGAAAAAAAAAACCAATCTGCATCGAGCACCAACTGGCGCAGCTTGCATCCTTCATCCTGTAATGAAGTTTGTCCGCTACTAGTAAACCAAGCCTCCACTAAGCTTTGGGCAGATAGCAAGCGACTAAAGCCAACTGCAGCCACAGTGCACTTGCCACTGCTTTCCTGTATCCCGACATGTTCGATGGAGTTATATGAGGAATTTTTTGGTTATGTTGATCATACTGTGCATGAAGTTCTGTCTGTACATGCGTTTGATGATGACGAAGAGTGAAGAAGATCCACGTATAACTGAAGACGGATATCAATACGCAAAGAGGAATTGCTGTATAGCTGCATCGTAATGAGATGAGATAATTCTAAAAAAAAATTGCAGCATTAAGAACAAATACCAACCAAATTATAAATTTAGCGACAACTGTATGCTTTAGGGCATGTTTACATGGAGGTGGGGGACCCCAGGTAGGTGAGGTAACCCGCCTAGGTGGGGTAACCCGCCTGTCCATATAATCTCTTATTTTATCTTGGTCACGTTTACATGATAGGTAGGGTGACCCGCTTAGGCCGGTTGTCCGGTCTGCTGGGTAGGGTAACCCTGTCAGCCGGGGTGACAATTTGCCATGTAAATGTCTCAAGGTGGGGTAACCCGCCTAGCTGGGGTGGCTTCATGTTGCATATGTGATCTTCCCCTCTATGATTTGAACAGGTTAATAACTAAATCCTTTCCACCCAATTTGCCGTTATCATTTGTTGACGAGCAGGTGGTTTTTATGATGACTAAGCGTTTCCTAAAGATGACGTTTCTTTGGTATGTTAATTATCGATTATACAACTCTATAAATGTGAAGCATTTATATAATTTTTTTTTTCTACTTTAATTTTGTTTATGGTATCATTTCTCCTCTGTCATTGGAAACTCGTTCCTGACAGCTTGATCTTAGTTTTTTATGGTCTTACTATAGGGTGGAAGTGCATATGGGCAGAGTAAGAGCTTTTGCTTTGCTTTTTACCCGCACTTGGTCATCAACACTCGTCTATTTTCCGCCAAAATAACAGTTGTCTTCAATAGTATGTTTTTTTACGGCGACATCAACAGCTGCCAGCGCTTTTCATAAATTTCTCATATTACAACAAAATTGGCATTTGTTGAAACTTAACGAAGAGTGTTACGGTTATTTGACTCGGAAACCAGGCAGCAATTGATTACTTTCAGACCTTTTCGATGAAAGTGAACGAGAGACCATGAAGTTGAGTCACATAAAAAATGTCGAAAGGCTCTTGAAAGCGGGATAAGCTTACAAGCTGATTATGATGATGGACGAATGAATACCTGCATCAAAAGAGATTGCAACAGGAGTAAGATACAATTACAGCGAAAAGTTCTGAAATTTTCTTATTTGTATTTGTTTTGTTTCTTTTAAATTTTTTTCAGTGGCCGTTGGTCCAATGTGTTTTGCGCCATCTGTTTGGTTGGTTGAAGGCATGTGCCTGAGTATAGAAAAGTGTTCTTGAAAATATCACCTAGAAAAGAGACATGTATTTTGTCAAAATGGAACTCATCAGCTCCCAGCTTGACGATGTCGTTTTTTTAACAGCTAAAATTTTCCTCTTAGTTTTCCACTTAGATGCATTTTAGTTTATGCCGCTTTCAGATTTAGAGGGACTGTTTACAATGTGGAAAATGAACTAAAGGTTCTAAGCCGTGAACCCCCCAAGCCACTTCGACCGGTAGAACCAGGATAACAGTCAACATGGTGTCATCAGCTCAGTGAAATCACCTGCTCAGAAGCTTCTGTCTTTATTATACGTTACTCAGGCTGGACTGAATTCGAGGGAGCCAGTCGGAAGGAACAAAATTACCTTTCACTTTAAATAGATGTAATTAATTGAGTTTGAGTACATTGCACTTTAAGCTGAATCGCAAAATATTACCCGTGGTCCAGGTTTTTATTAGCTCTACCCTAAAAGGGTGCAGATAAATGTTAACAGGGATGGAATGCCAAAAACATTACTTAGAGACCA